GGTAATACAGGATAAACCTGGTTTTGTCCTCCATGTTGCATCGAGAGCCCAGGGTGGGTTGACTCCTTCCTATGATGTCATTTAGCTGAGTCTGTACTAAGATATAAAAGCCAGCCCCCGGAAGAGACCCCAGCTTTTGACTCAGCTCCTTTCAGTCAGTAGCTGTGTCTCTGAAAGCTTCTGTTAGATAACACTCACCAGCGATCTTCAGTGCTGTTTTTCCTCGTTTCAAGCAAGGTTGGGAGCAGCATTGGCAGAGTGCTGTTCAGGCAAGTTGGGCAGCGTCTGTAGACCTCCCCCATGCCTGCAGTTTGAGCGGTTGTAAAAAGCGATTGGCAAACGGATAGCAGCTTCAGCCAGCTGAGGTTCTGTAGATAGCACTCACCAGCAATCTTCAGTACCGTTTTTCCTTGCATCAGCAGCTCCCAGGATCTGGGCAGCTGCTCTTCCAGGAGAGCAGGGCTCTCTCTCTCCTGCGGCATTGGGAGCAGTGTTGCCATAGTGCTGTTCAGGCAAGTTGGGCAGCGTCTGTAGACCTCCCCCACGCCTGCGGTTTGAGCGGTCGTAAAAAGCGATCGGCAAACCGATACCAGCATCAGCCAGCTGATCATGTGGCCAGAGGTTGCCCTTTGCTGGCTCTTTATAGGAGAAATTCTTCGATCTCGGAGCCTTTTCCCATAGTCAGCAGCCATCTTGGATTAAAGCCTTCCACCACAAGGTGAGCGGCCATTTTCTAAGCCCGGGGGCCAATTTATACCCTAAGGGGCTTAATACAAAAAATTTACAAACAGTTTCTTTCCATCGTAAGAGCCTTTATTCTTCAAATGGAGCAAGATAAGGGTCAGGCAGAGCCCCCTCCCCTCCCAGTGGAACAGTCTCTTAAGCCAATAAGAGAAAAAGTTGTAGGCAATGCACCCAATCAGTCCAGAGGGAGGTGGCTGCTAAAATCAGAGCTAAGGCTCTAACCCCTAAGAAGGCAACTCAGGCTGAGTTGAGGGCAGAAAAGCGCAGACATGCAGCCCTAGAGAGGCAGTTCAACAGAACTATTCAACAGAAGGGAGTGCAACTAGAGCATGTTTCAGGTGATACCTGTGGGCCCCAGCCAAGCCCTCCCAAGGGAGAAGTTATCTATGAGCCTTTCCATCCTCTATCCTGGTCTCCTGAGGCTTTTGCAGTACAGTGATCTTCAGGATCTAAGCAGATCTGGGCCTTATTTCCAACAGGCTTCTGGGCCCTAAGCTCCTCCCCCTCCCTCCAGGCCTCGAACCTCTTCTCAATCTAGGCCTGAAGCCACCTTCACTCCCTCAGCAGCCGGCCTTTGGCCTTCTGCCCCTACCTTTAAGCATAGACCAGGGGATATCCAAGATGTTGTCTCTTTGGCCATTAGGCAGGGATTGGCTGAAGGCTTCAAGCAAATCCTTCGACCTCCGGAAAGGGTTCAGGCCCTTCTCCCTTCTCAATCTATAAGTTGCCTCATCACCCTGATTTACACAGACCCCAGGGTCCATTCTTCTCTACCAGAATGGGAGGAGGTTGATGAGGAGGGAAGGGCTTCACCATCTGAACACAGTTACTCCTCGTGAAGAGGGCGAGACCTTTGACCAAAATCTTTCAAAGGAAGAGGACTCTCGCCCAGAGCAGACATCCTCTGCATTGGTCTTCAGTCCTTCTCTCTTCAGGCCATTACTCAGCGTGGCCTTGGTCACTGCCAAGCTGTCACCAGAGGAAGTGGCTCCCGAGCCACAAGGAATTCCCTCTAGCCAGGGAGACTCATTCTTCTCCAAGCCCTAGTGCATGCAGGGGTTTTGCCTTCTCCCACTTTGTTCCTGGACATGGTCAAGGAACAGTGCTCTTCCCCTTCGGCAGGTCCTCGCCCATCTTCTCTGGCCCCTCCCTTGATTCGTCCGGAGAGGGTAAGTCATATTTCTGTATTCATTTGTGCTTTCAGAGACACCTTTCAGTCTGTCAAGTATCTTCGCCAAAGCTGGGGTAACTTCTGGGGTCTGGCTTAGTACATCTTAGTACAGACTCAGCTAAATGACATCATAAGAAGGAGTCAACCCATCCTGGGCTCTCTCAGAACATAGATAGAAAGGGCGTTCATGGTAACTTCTACCAACGCCCATTTTAAAAGGATAAAGTTTGAGAGGTATATTCATTGACTTTATTCTTCCAAATAGGGTTTGGGTCTGTGGTTTTATGAATAATATAAGAAATAAAGAAAGTTAAAGAGGGAAGGGTTTGTATTTGTAACCAGGGTATAGTGTAGATTAAACTAGCCTTTCTAAACAAATCTTGTTAATGTGATAGTATATTGGATAGATATCAAGAGCTTATTTTTAAAATGTTTTAATGATCTTTCTTTAATTTCAGTTCTGTACAGAGATTTTGCTTTTTTCTTTTGAAGGAAGATTTTTTCATGCTACTGTGATTCTTGAAAGAAATATCCTGGACTCAGTCCAGTTTGAAGTAATAAATGCTATAAGAGTTTGTCTTAAAATTTGCCCTGAGTAAAGTTTGTAAATTATTCTGGATTGCTTTTGTTCTGACCTGCCAGGAATAGAAGAATAACTAAAACAAGTGATTCTATATCATGTCTGAAACTTGGCGTATGCATGGAGATAAGTTTGTCCTCTAGGCATTTTCTTTATTAGAAGAACAAAGAATGTAAGGGGGGGGGGTAAGATTCCTGATTTACTCATTTCCAAGATTTGGAGGTACCATTATCTGGAAAATATGTTGGTACATTCCAGCTTTCATTGCCAAAAGCAACATGTGTTTATTGATATTTATTGTTAATCTTACACTGATAGCAATGTTTAAAAATATTCATTCATTTCATGTATGGCGAAAAAAGGTGATGGAAAATATGGTTGCACCACAGCTCCAGGGGGCCAGGATGAAACACATTATATGGAGCTATTCCAGTTGGGTTTCAGACCAGGTTATGGGACAAAACATCTTTGGTAGATGAACTCTGGTAAGAGCGGGATAGGGGTAGTTCATCTTTTTAACACTTACTGATCTCTTGGTAGTTTTCAATATCATTCTGCTGGGGCTAGCTGTAGAATTTGGGACTGGGTGGCCAGTTTTGTGCTGGTTTGGCGCCTTTCTCCAAGGCTGGTCCCAATTGGTATTGTTAGGGAACAAGAAGTCCACCCTGTGACTGCTGCTCTGTGATGTGCCACAAGGCTCAGTAATTTCTCTTTTTGCTCCTTTTTAACATCTACATGAAGCCACTAGGTAAGATCATCTGACAACACGGAATGATGTATCATCAATATGTTGATGATATTCAACTCTACAGTTCCATCCTAGGTGATTCAAGTGTTGCTGTGGCTGCCTTTTTGCGGTGACTAGAGGCTGGGATGGGGAGAGGTCTGAATGAGGGACAACAGGCTTCAGCCGAGCCCTCGGAAGATGGACTAGTTGTGGATCCATGGAGTTTATCATCTTTGGTCTCAGATAGGGTTGCACTATCTCAGACAGACCCTGTTCCAACCTGGGGTTTCTCCTAGACTCACAACTCCTGCTCAAAGAGCAGGTGGCAGTCATGTCTAGGAGAACCTTCACTTAATTTTGTGTTGTGTGTCAATTGCGCCATTTCCTAGGTCATGAGGTCCTGCACTTGGTCATCTCTTATTGGATTATTTCAAAGAACTCTGCACGGGTGTATTCTTGAAGCTACAACTGGTATATAATGCAACTATGCAGACACTTCTGGAGGTTTCTGGGATGGTGCATGTAATACCAATGTAATATGAGGTGCACTGGTTGCTGTTAGCTTCCAGGACCAATTCAAGGTGTTGGTTATTATCTAGAAAAAACTTTTGTGGCAATGAACCAAGTAATTTGAGGAATGGTCATGCCCCAGTGGGATTGGCCCATCCCATCCAGAAAGGCATTTGAGTTATTGGGGTTGAGGAGAAGAGCTTTGTCTGCCATGGCTCCTGACCTCTGGAACATCTTACCACCAGAGATGGGAGTCGTTTCCAGCCTTCTGAAAGGGCATTAAATCCAGACTGTACCAATGGGCTTGGGGCCCAGATGAGGGAGTGCTATACTAAAGGGGGTTGGTTGAGTAAGAGACAAAAATCCACCCTCTTACCACCTGTGATCTTGTTTTTCAACCTATTTTTTAATGGTTAATTTTAATGTTGTTAATTTTTTATGTTTATGTTTTTATGCCATTGTAAGCTACCCAGAATCACTTTGTATAGTAAAACCAGGGAATGGGGAGATACAAATTTGATAAATAATTGAATGTAATTCTTAACTTTGTTTCTCTCATTCTTTCTTTTGCTCTGTTTACCTAAAAACCACATTGTTTCCCATCTACCAAGAGATTATTGCTTTCAGCCAGATATGTGTGAAATAACTCCTTTTAAAACATATTGAGAAGCATATGTATTCAGGTCACATTTTAGAACCCCAAGTTCATTATATTCCCATCCAAGGCAGGTTGGATTCTAATTGTCTAATAATCTATCAATTGTCAATAAGAAATACTTTCATCATCTTTTCACTGTTTCTCTCAATTAGTTTGATAACAGCATCATAACTCTGCTTTAAACTGGAGGATTTTTTTTAATTTAGATGGAAAAAAGATATAAGGTTAGATGTCATTAGGCAGTACACAAACCCTAACTCCATTTATTTCCCCCCTTCAACAACATATATGTTAAATACATATGCATGATAGAACCCCTTCTGTGGGTTGGCACCAAGAACCACAGAAACCATTGGATTACCCTCTGAACAGGACATCCGGAAGAAAAATAGAATAATGTGGAATTCCACAGAGGGTTTGGTTTTTGTTGCATACCACACTTCCCTTTTTCTTTTCTTGCTTTCTTTTTCTTGCTTTAATTAGAGAGATATGCCATTGAGAAAGATATAATACACTTATTAGCCAATGTTTATTTTCAACTTGTTAAAATGTTAAAAAATATGGCAGTAATCAAAGACTTTTTTCTCCCTTCCCTAACAGAGATCTTCGGTTCAATCGAATTAAAGAAATCCAGCCTGGTGCATTTAGGAGGCTTAAAAATTTGAACACATTGTAAGTTTTATCCCTCTTAGAACATTTTTTTCCCTTTTGTAAACTGTTAACTATTTTTATCTGTATCCCCATTTGTACCATATTTTGTCTCATTAAGACTAGTAAGACTTGTTTAGGTGTAATATTAAGTTTTCCTTATGTTGATTTCCGATTAGAGTTTTAAAGATTTTAAATTTAGTATTTTGTGAAATCCACATGAAAAAACATAAGAAATCTAGCCATCTGTAATTTTTGTTGACATCCATATACATTTATCTAATTTGCAGTCATGTAAAACAGGGGTGTCAAAAAGGATTTATTCGAGGGCCGGATCAGGGGAGCAAGGGGGAGGAAGATGGGACGGATGCCTCCTGCAGCCCCCTCCCAGCCAAAATAGGGCACTTTTTGGCTGGCAGAATGCTGCTGGAGGCTGGGGAGGCTGAAAACGGGCCTTGCGGGGGCCCTGTGGGACCTCCGTGTGGCCCGTTTTGGCCAGCAGAGGCACCATGGGCCAGTCCTTTGATATTTCCGGGCCAGCCCCGTGGACCAGATTTAAACACGCAGGCCTTGAGTTTTACACCCCTGATGTAAAATAATTGACAGCCACTGGACCACCAACCGGGATCCACCATGATCTATCCATTTCTTGTCACTTTTATCTAAATCAATAAGGGCAATATATTTTTTAATATTTTGAATTTTTGAAAATATTAATGCAGTGTTTCCACCTGGACACAGGCCTTTCTATTGGTAGCAGAAATTTCCATAAAAACTTATCAGAAGTTGTTCATCTAATTCATAGTACAGGTAGTCCTTGACATACAACAGTTCATTTAGTGACCATTTGAAGTTACAGTGATACTGAAAAAAGTGACTTATGATCATTTTTCATACTTACAACCACTACAGCATCCCCATGGTCATGTGACCAAAATTCGAATACTTGGCAACTGACTCACATTTATGAGGGTTGCAGTGTCCTGGAGTCAGGTGATCACCTTTTGCAACCTTCTGACAAGCAAAGTCAACGAGAAACACCAGATTTACTTAACAACAGTGTTAACTGATTTAACAACTGCAGTGATTCACTTATCAGCTGTGGCAAGAAAGGTCATACAATGGGCAAAACTCACTCAACAGATGTCTTACTTAGCAACAGAAATTTTGGGCTCAATTGTGGTCATAGGTCAAGGACTACCTGTATTGATAGATTTTATTTCAGCTGGTGTCCTCCAGATTTGTTGGGGCAACTATTTGAAGTCCAAGCCATCATATATATTATAGGTACAGTAGGACATATTAATAGAAATCACAACGGCCAAAATGCAAAGCATACTTAAAGTAGGCCAACCAAATTGTTGCTAATAAGTGAGCAAGCTTTTCAATTTTCCGCTACTCCCATCAGATGATAATAATATTCAGAGAGAAATAATAGCATTAGTAGTACTTTTGCCATTGAATGTAAAGCATACTTTGAATGTTGTAACTACTCCAGCTATCTTCCTGAAAAAGAAGTGTTGACATATTTTGGAATAAAGTATCTGTTCCATACTTCTTTTTATTTTTCAACAAATCATTTTAAGAAAACCCTGTTATTGTTATTTGTAATTAATTGTTGCAGTTCTTCAGTGGAAAAAGATACCTCTTTTTGTTTTATATCTTAGACTCCTCAACAATAATCACATTAAAAGAATACCAACTGGAGCATTCGAAGACCTTGAAAATCTAAAATATCTGTAAGTGCAAACATATTCTCGGAGATATGTTGATATAAAATTTGTATGATGCACTAGGCCTGTGCGTATTTGCTTGATCAAGGATTCTTTGGTTACTTTTAAGCCTCTCTTTTGTCTTGTAAGTTGCAAAAGCCGGAAGTACTATAGACAGCAGCCTCTTCTTAGCAATTATAAACGTATTCCCAAGCTGGAAGAGGCTTCTGTGTAAGAACTGTGTAGACATGGAAGTCCCTTGGCTAGGATTAATATAGATTCTTCTTAATTTTTCTGTGCATTTTTCTATTAATAAAGCTTAGCATTCAGTATTCTTTCTTAAGGACTTAAACTAAGGGCTGTTGCACAGTATTTTCAAAGCACCGTAAAAACTTAATTTACATCAAAATATATTAATGTTAATGTTAGTATGATATCATAGCAAAGGTATTCAGTAGGTTCTGACCGGTTCTGGAGAACCAGTCGCGGAAATTTTGAATAGTTCGGAGAACCTGTGGTAACCCTTCCCCAGGAGTGGGGAGGGAATGGAGATTTTACAGTATCCTTCCTCTGCAATGCCCACCAAACCACACCTACCAAGACATGCCACGCCCATCAAGCAACGCCCACAGAACTGGTAGTAAATTTTTTTGAATCCCACCACTGTATCATAGCAACCCCAAACAATGTTAGGTGGGTTTCTGAGTTTTCCATTTATGGTTTTTCAATTAGCATATGAGAGTAGTTCATTCTCCTTCAGTGATATCATTGCAAAGACAAAAATTAGAAATAAGCTCCATGGCCAGAATATATGAAAGAAAATGAGTCTTACATATGAATGTAAATAAAATTATTTGCATGATGAGGGACCTTAAGAAAGAAGTAAGCAATAAAAGATAAAACTTCCCACCAGATCTCTCTGCTCAACATGGGAGATTCGGGAATGAATTAGTTGAACAAATGTGTCTGTGGGAAGTAGATTATTCAGAAATGAAATGCATGCATAAAAAGACAAGTTCTTATCAGTAGTTCTATAAAAGCTAGTAAGTGCAGGTTTCCAAGCATACAGCTGAAGGCAGAGCATAGAAAAAGGAGAAGGAAGCTTGGCTTATGACTAAAAGAGGAATTCTGGAATTAGTATGCTTAGTTTAAAAACATGGCTGGGTGAAGGCGCTTTAGAGAATTTGAAGATTGCTCAGCCCTCTCCCTAGAAAATAGGAATGCTACGCAATATACAGAAGATGGAATCCAATGTGCTATTTCTGCTGATGTGACTTTTCTGAGCAGAACCAAATAAAAAATATTTCTCTGCTCGATTGACCCTCTCAGCACCTGTACTTCTGTGGTGGCCTGAGCAAGATTTTTGAGATTTTTCCGGTTAATTTTGGCTACTTGTCTGTATAATTTCTCTATAGTCTTATCCTTTCTTCTATTTTCAATGGTGGCTTGTTTAAATATGGGTTGTTTAATAACCTCCTTACACAGACACATTGATTTTATTACCTGCATCACATTTGTCTTTCTCACTGGAATAGCTTGCAGTTCCACATTTTAAAGAAACTCCCATTCATCTTGAATGTCATTCTCCTTGAATACTTATATCTGTTGGGCATGGAGAAGATCATTAATATCTCAGCTTTTAATTTTTTTAATATTCTGAATCTCAAGGTGTGTAATGTTGACTTCAAACCAAAGTATTTTCAACTTTCCACTTTCTAACCAATTATTCCATATTAAATTTGTGAAATTTTATGACAGCTGATCTTCTGGTTTATTGGATTAACTGCAAAAAGAAGAATTTGTTAGCAGATTGGATCAGATATTTACTAGCTCTTCTATATTTTCATCAGAACAATGGAAATTTCTCATGATTATGCTTTCCCATTGTAAAAATTGGTAACCTGGTCTAGGAAAGTATAATACTAATCTTCTGTCTAATATGCTGTATGGCAAATGCATGCAATTACATTCTGATTATTTCCTTTTCCTTTTATTTTCATACAAATGTACAAAAACTATGTTTGCTGTGCTTTTGCTCTGATGTGATTTGGTGTACTGTTATGGATCTAGTTCTGAATATATGTACATTTAGAAAGTATATTCAAAATGAGTACTTTTTTTCTTTTCAACATCTGATTGAGTTGATAATGGTATATCATAGTGCTATCTCTTAGAAGAAGATGACCAGATCTCTTCATTGGGGTGCTTCCAGTCCTTTTCTGTAGAACATTAATTGGAATGAAATGTCCCTTAGAACTGTATCCAGTTTTGTTAATGTATCTAATTTATATTTTTGTAAGAAAATATAGTAAGAAGTGAATTACTAATTGACCCCAAAAACCCTATATAATGGTAAAATATTGGCTAGATGATTTCATAATTGGCTCGATAATTGGCTCGATAATCTCATAAAATGCTTACTAATGGATCAAAAGTATCTAGGAGGAAAATACGGCTCTGTCTGGGCACTGTGTAGTTCCATACTTTTATAAATTACTTTCCTACAAAAATATAAATCAGATACATTAACAGGACTGGACACAGTTCCAAGGGACATTTCATTCAATTTTCTCTCCTCTGAAGTATTAGCCACCACTCCTAGCTTTAGAACGATATTAACTCTGCAGATTTGATAGCAGAGTTTCAAATTCTCAGAGAATTTAAATATGAACCAGTAATATGATGCAACTGTCTGATTGATCATTGATATTTTGCGGTACACACAGGAGCCTCTACAGTGTATCTGAATTTGGTTTCCAGCAGGAGATTTGAATTAAATTGGTTGAATTGAATATACCAAAATGTACAAAAATATTTTAAATGCCAGAAAATGTATTTTTAATCTTTCTTGGTTTATAGCCCATTTCCTCAGATTTTTCCTTTGTTAACCTGAGAAAGAGTTTTTCAAGTTGCAAATTAATGAATAATAATGTCAGGAAATGAAATCCATAAAGTATATGTTGTTATATAATGACGGTTGCTATTCATAAAACATTAAGTGTGACAGTGATAATATTAGACAACTAATTAACACATATACTATGATAAAAATCTCTATTTAATCTGTTTTACTTTTCAGAAGCTGAATAGAACTTCACCTATCTTCCAGCCATTCCTATTGACTGCTGCTTTTATTCTAAATATAAAATTAATATTAATATTACATCATTTTATCTATCATTGTCCAAATACACCTGATGGTACTAATATTTAGGAAAATGCTATTGTCTGCAAAAGTCATAAAACACTGTGATGAATCTTTTAGATAAATGTATTTATATAAACTTGGAATTGAGTTTTTCAGACAGCAGAACGGCCTCAGTATGTAATTAACTATTTTGAGATGGAAATATTTGAATACTATCCCAGTTGTTTAATATTCTGTCAGCAGGACAGAATTTTTTTTACAATTCTATCAAAAAAAAACCCAAATAGAATTACCAACATATTTTAAAACATTAAAGAAGCTAGACATGATAAATAAATCTTTCATTTCTGGAAACCACTGTGCTGCTATATTTATTTAGCATTAAATTATCTGTAAATTTTATTAGTGTAATTGAACAATTAGTCTAGTTAATAAATACAAAAGGGTTGTGATGGTGCCCACCATTAACAGTTTTCACTGTGCTTCTTGTGATATCAATTTATTTTTCACTTGTATTATCATATTTTATATCATGTCAGAGGTTTGCATGCACTCCTGTGATGAAGTTGTACTCTATTTAATAATCAGACTCTTATACAGTTCCATTTATTAGTTGAGTTCCTAAATTCTCCCCAATTACATTTTTTTGTTCTGTGACTTCTTTAGCTTTTAACATTTAAAGTTAATTATTTTGATAGAATTGTTATGCTACAAATCTGATAATGTATTTTGAACTTTTCAAATTATTAATATTTTGAAGAGAAACAACTAATAATCTATTAGTTCAGGTAAAGTTACTAGTACCAGTACTAGAAACATGATTACAAGAGATTGACATAAATTATCTTAGTCCTATGAATTTGTGTATGTACTTCTGTAATCACACAGATGGACACTTTACTCATCATTATCTTAGTTCTGTGTCTTAATAATTCCCAGGCCTGTTCTGAAGCTGTCTTCTCAAATAGCATTGAAAGCTACTTGGGGATTATATTTGAAGTCCAGCACAGTTTTCTGTTTGTACCCTAAAGCTTCTGACCAACACTCCCAAATAAAAAGTGTTCTGTTGTGTACACATGTCTCGTTTTGTTGCTTTCCATTGTGTATTTGAAAAACTGTCCTCACATTTCAACTTAATTCCTTCACGCATTAATGTAACACTTGTTTGTGTATACTAATATTACTGATTATTTCTTGTTTCAGCTATTTGTACAAGAATGAAATCCAGTCAATTGACAGGCAAGCATTTAAAGGACTTGCCTCTCTAGAACAACTGTAAGTGCCTTTTCTCTACTGTGCTGTCATCTGTTTGGTTGCCTCAGAGAAAAAGTGCACGTTTTCCAATATTTCTTGTCTGCATGCCTTTTTGCATGATTGCACGGAATGAGTTTATGGTCCAGTGTGGTTGCAATCACTGACATGCAGAAAGCATATTTGTCAAGTATGTCATTTCTGTGTTTACATTTTATTTTATATATTTCTGTTTCAAGATAATTATGTGGCAGTTTCCAAGGGCAAGCATAATTTTAGCACCAAACATAAATGTGCATAAGAATTAGGGCTCCTGTTTCTACAAACAACTAATAGTTTAGATAAATAGAGTAATAAAAAATAGATACATAGAGCAATAAGCAAAATCCAGACAAATACTCCACTGCCCATGGCTTAGGGATTCAGCTTATTCCATTGGTTGTTCAAATGGTTGAACTGTTTCTCGATATCAAGGGAGTAGTAATTTGTTTTGAAAAGATAATTATACCGTATAATTTTTATAATTGATGATAGATTCAATCATAATATTGCAAATAATTCGCTTAGAAAAAAAGCAGGCCAACAATATTACCTTCCTACCTCAAGATAGTCACAGGTAATAGGAATG